CCACTGTCTCGTTTTGGTTATTTATAAATAACCAATGTCTCGTTTTGGTTATTTATAAATAACCAGCCTGCTATGTGGTTATTTACATATAACCATACTTGTTTTGGTTATATACCAATAACCACTCTAAATAATAAAAATACATTTGGCGCCCCATAGGAAAATCCCATTAAAAATTCAGGACTTTCCAGGTTCCAATAGGATTCCTGGAGATACGGACGTCATTCTTATTATGTAAAATAGCCCAAGAAACTCTGCAATATCAGCCGTTGTGACAAATAACATCATTTTTAATTGAACCCAAAATGAAATTATACAATATTCTGAAGCTAATACTTTCAATACATTAGTCTTGTGAACATTACCTACTTTGTTTACACAGCTAATTTATAATAATTATGAGATGAATACAGCTTACCTTCGTGAACATGTAAACAAGCTTAACAGGCACCGTTTCCTTGTCGTTAGATCACACTGTAAGCAAAGATAAAATGTGGGACTGTGCAGGAAAAGATACGTTTAATTGTTTATTTTTGTTATATTTCAGGGTCAAATAGGTTTAAAACTGGGTACAAACCTTTCAAAGTTGAACGAGTTTTTAGAAATTTCCAACATGGTCGCCGACGAGAGATTACTACACTCGCAAAGAAATATGGGAAATTTGGAGGGTCGTACTTCCAGAATAAATCAAAGATGGAAAAAATGATGTAATGAACATCACAGATCATTTGAACTCCAACTACAATATTGCAGGAAAAAAGTTCTGAAAAATGAAGACTTAATCAGACAGGTACTCCCAAGATAATACAATCGGGTGCTGTGTCACTGATAATTAAGCGACCAAGGCACCTGTTGAAGTCGAGGTAATTTTGAGAGCTTTTAGCTAACTGCAAAGGGAAGTTATCAAAAATAAGGGAAAACATGTGGATGATGACAAACTTACAGAGAGGGTGCTTTTTCAACACGCGCCAATCCTGTTTTACAAAGAGGATGGGTGCAAGCTTTCGATATGTTAGTGATTTTTCACCCACTTGCAAACATAACTAATTTTTCATAAGAATGGGTTTCAGTTAGACATATTTTTTAAGTGAAATGGTTAACGTCGGTGTAGTTTCTCTTTCAGTGTTTTTTAATTTGGAGTAACCTGCACGGACTAGTGTTGATTGTAGTAATATCTTCATACCGCCTCCTGCGCCAGTTTATGATAAAACCAAAGGCCCATTACTTGGCGCGTTCAACTCCCCGACTGAGCCTATGTCACGGCATTTTCAAAGAGTGGTTTATTTTTAGACTATCTTTTCTCGGGAAATGGGCTACTCGAGCTCTCGTAGTTATGCGTCAAGTTAGAAATTAACTATGCACTCATCGTGATTGGTCGAAGGGTTTCCGTGGGGAATCCCATTTCGCGGTAAATTCAAACTGAAAATATACTTAAGTAATTAGAATATATCAACAAAGTTGAAATGGTAAATTGGCCACCGTTACGATTATAAAAGCTGACGTTTCGAGCGTCAGCCTTTCGTCGGAGCGAAGGGCTAACGCTCGAAACGTCAGCTTTTATATAAACGTAACGGTGGCCAATTTACCATTTCAACTTTGTTGGTATATTCTTATTATCAGCCTTTAAATATATACTTGTATGTGAAAACACTGTGACATAAACAAAGCGCAGTTGAACGCTCCAGTTAATGGGCTCCTTATGAAGCCTTGTGGCAATCATGTAGCCTATTGTAAAAGTTTGCCGTTTTCTGATGACAGGCGTAAAACAGAAATCCTTTTATGACACAAACACTGTCAGAATTACAGCATGTTTTGCACGAAATTATTTTAAGTTACGTAATATCTCTAGGGACATTTCTCTATGACAATGAACATGCGTTTCGAAAATCGTAACGGGAACACAAGGTTCAAGAAAGGGAAAGGAATACAAAATTGTAAGTACAATTTGCTCAAGAACATTACGGCACAGTGCCTGAAAAGTAATCAGTGTAATTTGTTTATTTCAGTTTGACTTCACATGCTCATAAGAAAGAAGGCGTGCAGAA